CGGCGACTGATCTGCCTCACCCGGGAAGAGCGCAATGATGGTGCCAACTTGGGCCAGTGAAGCAACATCCTCCACAACTAGACTGAAGAACAAAAGGACACCAACTTGTCTGTTCCCCTTCCCCCAATTCCCTAGCACTGTTCCCATCCCCCCAATTCCCCAATAAAAAAATTTAAAAAAAAAAAAAAAGAGAGAGAGAGAGAAACATAGGACATTCCTACTACAGGGAATTCTGGGTAGGCAGCCACTGTGCAAATCCTTAATTATCAAACATATAAAACGAGGAGGTTAAAATTCACATATGTAAATTGAGCCACAGGCATGAGCTTCAATTTACAAAAATTCCACTGATGACACCTAAGCTTACCGGGCTCCAACATTCCTGCCGGGCTGTTCTCTTTGCTGAAGGATCTGTATCTGGATTCTGTTATGGCTTCCTCTTCCATTGCAGGTGCCTGAACATCATTTTGTGGTTGGGATTCTGGGCTGTGCAGCTGAACGTCTGTCTGTCACGAATCTACCTTGCTGCTCATTTTCCCCATCAGGTTGTTGCTGGAGTCTTGTCAGGTATCAGCTGCTCTGGCTCCCCTCTGCCCTCCCCCACCCACCCACACACACACACACAAACTTCTATCCCATTTCTCTCTAATCGGGACAAAATCCCAGCATTCCCACCATATTCTGTGGTTATCAATGCTGTTAGCATTTCAGTGGGTTGAAAGTCAAGGGTGGACGATTTGAAATGATGACTTTCTATAGGAGTACCCAGGTCTACACAATTAAGTACGTTCCAGAAATGTTGGCAAGACATCAAATTAACTTGCCCAACTGAATTCGCTTGAAATTTCTGAGCTTTTTACATTCTTTATTTCCTACTGATCTTCAGTTGGAAGTGGCCCCTAGTTTTGTTTTAAGGGATCTACCAAATTTAACAAGTTAACGCAGTGTCCTAGGAAAACTCTTAATTTAAATAAATTCATTTGCAAACCTGATAGACTCCCACAGTTGGTCTTTTTATAGATTCAGAATTTTGAATATTTGTGTTTTCTTAGATCCGATTAATAAGGGGAAGAAAAGACTTAGGTTCAGTATAAGAAAGAATTTTTTAACTTTGTTGGAGGCACCAGAGTATAAAGCTTTAAGCAATAAGAGGATGTGTGTGACAGACTTCTATCTGAAAGGAGTCTATGGCTGAGGACAGGCTGGAGTCACAGGCTGGGAATAAACCAGGTGAACCTCTAACCTAGCACCTGTGATTTAATTCCACAATGGCAGGATAGATGACCTGCTGGCTCCAAACTCACCTCTAGTTGAAGGTCCAAAGTCTTCCCTATTTCTCACAGTCATTTGTTCTTCCACCCAGGCATTGCTGTTGCTGAAACTTTCCGCCACATCCAGAGCATCTACAATGCCAGTCTCAAGAAATATTTTCTCATTACCTTCTTCCTGTTCAGTTTTGCGATCGGATTTTACCTGCTGCTGAAGGGGCTCGGTGTAGACCTCCTGTGGACTCTAGAGAAAGCCAAGAGATGGTGTGAGCGGCCAGAATGGGTCCACATTGACACCACACCCTTTGCCAGCCTCCTGAAGAACCTGGGGACCCTCTTTGGCCTGGGGCTGGCTCTCAACTCCAACATGTACAGGGAGAGCTGCAAGGGCAAGCTTAGCAAGTGGCTCCCGTTCCGCCTCAGCTGCATCGTGGCCTCCCTTGTCCTCCTGCACCTCTTTGACTCTTTGAAACCCCCATCCCAAATCGAGCTGATCTTCTATATTCTGTCCTTCTGCAAGAGTGCGGCAGTGCCCCTGGCATCTGTCAGTCTCATCCCCTACTGCCTTGCCCAGGTCATGGGCCAGCCAGACAAAAAGTCCTTGTAAGGAATGTGGAGTCTTCGGTATTCAAAGTCAATGACTGTGACAACGAGTGAGGGCAACTAGCGAGGGCAACTAGCATGTTCCGCCAGCCCACTTTGAAGCCAGAGGTGCCAGAGTCAACTCAGGTGACCCCCTTCCTCCTTTGCAATTCTAATTGTACTGGGTGATGGTTTTTTGAAAAGCTAACAAGGCTATTTGAAAAAGCCTTATCTGTTAGAAGATGGGTAGTTCTGGATTTTTCCCTGAAGACGTACTTGTTCTTCTGTCAGATACAAAAGCCAGACTCCCAGATAGGGTCAGCTCACATCCCAGGCTGGGGATCCCACCTGAGAATTTTCTACCTGTGCTTATACTTATCCAGCCAAGGAGAAAGGAGAAGTGGATTTCATAGGGAAAGAAGGATGGATTAAGAAGGATTTTTTAGTGTCTTGCATATCATGCAAATTATGTCAAGCAATACCTAAATGGCTTTGATTATATTTAAATCTTTATGTAAGGGACTCTCAATAGTGAGGGACCAACTTAAAGTATAATTAATAGGTGGTAAGTGGGGATAATTCTGCTTCTTGTATTTTTCTACTGTATACCAGTGGTCATTTTATTTACTAGGATTTCAGAATGGCTGCAGTGACCTAGATTTGTGCTAAAGTCAGAACATTCAGGCATAGTCAGCTTCTCCTCTATCACACTAGATCTTCCTCCTTATTAGCCCAGCTCTGCTTTCCCCAGAAATTTCCACTGGCTCCACACCCGACCTGTTGGATGATGAGATGCCTAAAGGCAATTCTGTGGTGGTGCTTTTGTATGTTTCAGTTAAGATCTAAAATCTTGGGCAAAAAGACAAGCAAGGGGAAGGCAAGGAGAGGAAGCAAGGATTCTCCTCCCCAGAAGGTCACTCCAATGTTACTTTTGATTCCTGAAGGGAAATCTATGACTCCTGTCTCTAGCCCAAGCCAACCAGGAGCACTTTCTTGGAGGGAAAGCCTCGTTGCCTGTTCTCCAGTCTCAGCTGATTTGCAGAATATGTCCCTTAAAAAAAAAAAGCTGAAGCCTATTTATTTGAGAGCCTTTGTTTTTGCTACTAATTATATGGTTCACCATATATTATCATTCACACCAGCCATCCTGGTCATAACATCTTTGAAGAGAAAAATATATATGTGCAGTATTTTATTAAAACATTTTATCTAAGAGTGAAGTCGTGTTGATTACTGTATTTTAGATGCAATGAGGTCTGAAGGTTCTAATTCTGGTTCAGCTAAATTTCTAGCTCTTTCTCTAGTTCCCTAAACAAATCATTTAGTTTCTGTGTACCTATGTTTTCCCTTTGTAGAAGGAAGGTACTTTATCTTGGGTTGGCCAGGAGTCCCAGTAGAATTGGGGAGACTTATAAAGTGTCCATGGGACACAGGTAGAGTTGAGCACATCAACATAGGCACAATATCGTTAGCCAAGACTGAACATTAGTTACCTGTCCACAGGTCAGCGTGAGTTTCTCTATGGGATCAAACCACAACTTGAGGACAGACAGGCAGGGTCATTACCAAACTAAGCAATCTGGGAATGTAAGTTGTAGCAACAGAACAAAACTGGGCAGACTTTAGAATCCATAACCCAGTGTCAGCAAGGTTTGAGGGTTATGGTTAAAGAAAGTCTGAACAAGACAAGTCATAGCACCAATGAATGCTCAAGGGAGCTATTGCAAGTTGCTCTACTAAATGATTGATTGCTATTTCATTCTGGGTGTAGGGTCCTACCTCCGAAGGCCTTGACTCATTAGCATAATCTTGGATCTACTGAAGGTGAGATCTGCTCACTCTTCGGAACTTTGGAATGTATTTATTTAGGGAAAGTTGAGTGCCCCTACTGGATTTGGTTTCTTCAGAGGGGAACCAGGCCCCTAAGAGCCTCTAATGGTCTCACCAAGAGAGAAGGGAAATGGTCTTGTTCCGTCTGATTTGAACCCCACTGCTTAGGCATGGGGTTCATCTTTGATGATTTAGTTGCTTTCAAGGACCAAGTCCAGCTTCCTGGAAATGGGATTCTGGTAAATAGTGCTCCTGCCCGCAGTAGTTGGTAAGGTTGATAAGGACTCATAATAACAGATAAAATTGAGTGCTTACTATATGCCAAGCTCTGTTCTATGCATTTTATTTATTTACACAATTAACTCACTTAATTCTCCCAACTTCTCTGTGAGGTGGGTGCTGTAACTTACCTTCATATTACATAGGAATAGGAACAGAGGAGTTAGGTATTTTGCCTACAATGGTGGAGCCAGTTCAAGAACCAGGCAGTCTGGCTCCAGACTCCATGCTCCACGCTCTACCCCCCTCACTTCCATACCCCACGGATGCCACTAAGACTGGCAGCTGTTATCAAACCAGCCTTCAGATACCAGATATGACTCTTAACCCAGACCATGGGAAATTTGATTTCTTGTGGCCAAAGGACATTATAAAATGTAGAGTTATCCTCCCAGTGAATTAGTGTTCATTTCTAAGTATGAAGATACTTTATTTTAAAGGTAATTTCATAAAGTAACTGTTAGAACAGGCATAACCATGCTAGTTTAACAGCAGTGTCTAAAATAGCGGTTTTCAACCTTCCTAATGCCGCGACCCCTTAATACAGTTCCTCATGTTGTGGTGACCCCCCAACCATAAAATTATTTTGTTGCTACTCTATAACTGTAATTTTGCTACTGTTATGAATCGTGGTGTAAATATCTTTTTGTTTTCCGATGGTCTTAGGCGACTCCTGTGAAAGGGTCGTTCAACCCCCAAAGGGGTCGTGACCCACAGGTTGAGAACCGCTGGTCTAAAACAACTTTAGTTCTTTGTTTTCTTTCTTTCAAGAAAGAGATTAAGAGTCATGCTCAGGGTCCCATCTACTTTCAAGTTAAAAGGAAGGCCAGTATGAATGGGACAGGGGAAGAGTCTTAGGATTCCCTGAGGATTTAACTGGAGGGTTTGTGCCCTAAGAAGACACTATCAATCACACCCTGAGGACACGTCCCAAAGTTGCCCGGAGGAACACATTCTGACTAGAAAAAGTGATAGTGCTGGGCCAGTATTAAACTTCATGTTTCCAAGCTGCCAAACAGATCTTAAGGGAGTTGCTTACACTCACCAATGCCATCCCAGCTCTGGGGCTCCCAGGAGATCACTGCTCTTTCCTCCTGAATGGATATGATACACTGTAATCGCATTTGACCTTTCCCTAATGTGCAATTATTTTCCATGGAGTTTTGTCTGCTCATTATTTTTAGTTAAACACATTTCTTGATACTCAAATGATCTATTAAAAAACTGAGTGTGAAAAAAAAAACCAAAACACTTTACTACTGTAGAAGGAAGAAAGAACATAATGTGACCAATGTCAGGTAAAACAATATTGTTTAACAGAGAATTATTGTACAATTATAAAAAATGGAATAATCAAATAAATAATAAAGCTGTTAGTAAAAAAAAAAAAAAAGTCAGGTTCAGACTATCTGGGTCAGACAGTAAGGTAAGTTACTCTTTCTACAATTGAGATAAAGTGAGAAGATAGAATTACCACAAAGAACTGTTGGTATAGAACCATATACAGGGGTAAAAAAATAAAGAGACACTGGTGAAGGGTGTTTAGATGATAGACTCCACAAATACAGGACTGCTCCCTTTTATTGGAACGGGCAAAGTCTAGAAGTGGACAGCCCTACAGGCTTAGAATTTGTGATGGGTAAAGTGGAGCAGAAAGAATGTCAGCCCATGATTAATTTGTAATACAGCCAACATATTAGCACATTTTTGATCATCTATCTCCCCAAGTTACAGAGGTAGGTTTGCTTTTGAAACAACTTGTGAATCCTCAGGATGGAAGTAAGTTTGAGTGACCAGTGACAGTTTTAAACCAAGGTTCATGGCATGGTATAGCATAATCTGATAGATTATTCTAACAGTCTCAGTTTTGAGGAGGTAGGCTTGGGGAACACACACACACACACACACACACACACACACACACACACACACACACACTATACTACTGTATTATTGCCCTGGGGAACAGACCCGTTAAGAAAATGCAACTTCCTTATCTGGGCCAATGCTGCTGCATTACACGTAGACCAACAGCTTAAGCGTTTTTTTATTGCTGTTTTTATACTTTAACAAAATTTTTTTATACAGCTTTTTAAAAATTTATAACAACTTTATTGAGATATAACTCACATACCATCCAATTCATCCAATTAAAGTGTACAATACAAAGGTTTTTAGAATATTAGAGAATTGTACAGTTATCACCACAGATCAATTTCAGAACATTTTTTTCACTCCATAAAGAAACCCACACCCATTAGAAGTCACTTCCATTTCACCCCAACCCATCTAGCCCTAAGCAACTACTAACCTACTTTATCTCAGAGATTTGCCTATTCTAGACATTTGATATGAATGGAATCATACAATATGTGGCCTTTTGTGTCTGGCTTCTTTCACTTTGCACGGTATTTTCAAGGCTCATTCATGTTGCAACATGTATTAGCACTTCATTTATTTTTATGGCCAAACAATATTCCATTGTATGGATATATTAAGTTTGGTTTATTCATTACTTGATGGAAATGTAGGTTGTTTCCACTTTTTGGCTATTATGAATAATACTGCTGTGAACATTTGTGTACAAGTTGTTGTGTGGAACCAGGATTGCATTTCTCTTGGGTATGTACCTAGAGGTGGAATTGCTGGGTCAATGGGTGACTGTTTAACCTTTTAAGGAACTGCCAAGATTGTTTTCCCAAAGGCTTAGTAAGGAAGTTTTACAGTGTTTTTGGTTTTGCCATCTCTTGATTTCCTAGGGTCATAGTCTGTACTATAATTTTGTCTAATTCTTTGCCTGAAGAGTTTTAAAGCAAGATTGATCAGGTGATCAGATTTTACATGATGAAATGTCAGTAGGCTCCTCCTATTGTTGGCAATGGCTTCATTGTTCCGATACGTGTTCCAAGAGCATTTCATTTGAAGACATGTCTGGATATTTCACGTTCCGGCCCTAATCAATTGACCAGTTGTTTGTAACCTGTCAAAATCTGCTGACTTGTTTTCTGAAAACCAGTACTTTAGCTGCTGAATTATTAACGCTTGTTGATTTGTACAGTCTGTAGTAATTGCTGAACTAGGACAGATCCCTTTAAGGCCTGTATGTGTAAATAAAATAGGACAACATCAGTTGTATCCAAGAGTTTTTCAAGAGCCTCCTGAGAATAGAAAACACTCTGACCACACAGCCTTCTGATGAGGTTGTTAAGGAAAGAATTGACTAGAAATAGTACGAAGTAGTCAAAAGCTACTTCCATTAAAGAACCAAGAACCTAATGAATCTGGAAAAGAAACTGGCAATTATCTAGTACAGTGATGGGCGACCCAAAGCCCAAAGACTAATTTCAGAGTGAAAGATTAAAAAGCTGCCACTGTGTTGCTGCTCCTTAATTAAAAGAAAAAAGTTGATAAATATTTTTATTTTTCCTGAATTGGCTCTTATTTTAAAGTTGCTTGCTATTAATTCTATTCAAAAAAATGTTTTCATTTCACAGATTCAGAAATTAAGGCCTACAGAGATGAACTAGCTCCTCTAAGTCACATGAGTAACCTGTTCCCAGGTCTCATGATTCTCAGCAGAGAGCAGTCTCCCCTTTGCCTGTCTCTGGCATTTATCTGGACTGCCATGTCAACAAAGCTGCTGAAACAAGCAAAAGACAGAAGTAAACCGTAGAACCTGCATATGTGAACCAGAACTAGGGTTTGTTAACCAAATTAAAACCACAGCTAGAATAACTGTGTTCAAGGTAGCCTGTTCCTAATTATGTTATGCACTCCTCTCTTCTTTTGCTTTCGTAAATCTTTCCAGGGAAACAACTTGATGTTTTTATGGGTTTGTTTTTTTCTTTTTTGTTTGTTTGTTTGGTTTTTTTTTAGCACGAGGATGCTTTTCCAGCCAGTAAATGTTCAATGCTTCACTTTATGCCATCTTCTCTCTTTCTTCTTCTGCTCTTCACATTCCTGTCATTGCCTTTATTTATTTATTTTTTAAAGATTTTTATTGGGGAATTCGGGGATGGCACCATCATTGTGTTCTTCCCAGGCGAGGCAGATCAGTCGCCGGCTTCTAGACGGCAGCTCACAGCGGCTGCTGGCGGTTCACGCTGGCTGC